CCCTCCCCCCTTGTGTTGTGCTGCCCCCCACTATGCACTCAACCTCCCCAAAACCCGGCAGGCCCGCTTGGTGGCCCTGACGGCAGCCCAGGAATTGAAAATGCCATTTAGTAAGATGGAGGCCCGCCTCGACCAGCTGGCCGCCCTCCTGCCAGACATCGGCACGCGGCTGGCGTCGCTGCGGCCGCAGCTCGTGGCGCCGCTCGTGAGGGACCTGGAGCAGCTGCCGGGTAGGTGGCAGGTCTTGGTTGTCCGGCTGCTGCCACCACTGCTGCTGCTGCTACTGCAGCTGCCACCACCCCGCCGCCGCCGTTGCTGCCAATGCTGCTGCTGTTGCGCCTCCGGGTTGCGTTGGATTTCTGCTGGCAGTGTTGTTGCCGACGTGCATGCCCTCAGAAGCGCAGACGGCCTGCCCAAGTCATGGCGCTGGTTTAGTATTCCTCCAACGCACCCAGCACGTCCTCACCATGTCGCGACCAGGCCGCATGATCGCGCTGCGAGAGCTGCTGCCCAGCGCCAACATCAGCGCGGTCGTGGCGGCCGCGCCCCAGGTGCTGCTCAAGGGGGAGGACGAGCTGAGGGCGGCTGTGGCGGCGCTGAGGCGGCTGATGGCCGTCGACGACCGCCAGGCCAGCTGGTGGGCGGGTGGATGGCGGGCGGATGCATCAGCATCCTCGAGACCAGGGGCGCCCTGCTGCCGAGGTGGACTGGGGCGGTAGGAAGGGGCACTGGCAGGGGCCCACCAGGCAGCCTCCAGAGCAGGCACGCCGACCCTTGAGCCAGCCGGCCAGGATTCGCACACCTGCCCCTCCTCACACTGCAATCCCCCCCCCCGGCCCCGTGCCGCGCGACCGCCTGCAGGCTGGTGGGTGAGACGTGGCTGTTTTTGGAGCCGGACTGCGTCGAGGACGTGCTGGGCACGCTGGGGCGCCTCATACCCGGCCGGCCCGCGCGGGAGCTGCTGCTGGACGACCCCACCTGGCTGCTGCGCGCGCAGCGGGGGCAGCGGTGGCTAGGTGGGCGCGCGGACTCATGCTTGGTACGTCTGCAGGCGTCATGACTGGGACGACGTTGATGCGCATCAGCACCGGCTTGTGCCATTGTTTCGTAGAGCCCTTTCAAACTCATGCCCCTGTCCTCATCAACCTCGCAGGAGAGCACCCGGATCAGATCTACTGGGACCCATGATTTTTTTGACGTGTGCTAGCGCTGCGGGGGAGTGTACCGTTGGACACTTGCGCCCACGGGTGCCGCCAGCAAGTTCAGCCGTGGTGTGCGCGTTTTCCTGACGCACTATTTGGATACAGATAAAACTCTGTCGTAGCATGCACAAAGTGACGAGGGTCGACCAACGTGGGCCGTCTAGAGTGGATACATGTAGTGTCGCTGGTGCCTTCCTTTATCCTGTCACCGCTGACTTCCGCCTGTGCAAAATTCGCTGCTCAGTCACTGCCCAACACACACCGCTGTAATGCCCAAAAGCCGCATCGTTACAAATGCAACGGCGCCGACGAACCCTAGCCCCTAGCCGCCGCCTGCTGCCCGCCGCCGCCGCCGCTCATGCTGCCCGTTGCGGCTGCCCCAGCCGCCCCGAGCGGCCTGTAGGTCTTCGCCGTCACGCGGCTCAGCAGGCTGCGCACCTGGTTTGTGTGCAGGCAGCTCATGAACTCCGTGAGGCCTAATGTCTTGCCGCTGTTGAGGTCGCTGGTGCTAAACACCTCCTCCAGCTTGGCGTCAAGCTGGGCGCGGCCGTGGCGCAGGTACGTGATCTGCATGGCCTCCTCCAGACTGATGGAGCCTGGGGGGGGGGGGGGCGGCACGATTTGAGAAGGAGTGACAAGGGGGCGCGCACGCATGACACTGTGTCCACGCGTCCGTGGGAGGGGCAGCACACACGCGCACGCGTGCGTGCGTTGGCGTGTGGGCGCGGAGAACGCAGCCACCTGATGGACGCGGGGGACATGCGGGTGAGAAACACCGAGGAGTCCCCGTGGCACTGCAGGCGTCCCACCTGCGCCCTCGCGGTCGTGCATCACGAACTCGACCACGTTGAAGAGGCCGCGCGGCTCGGTGCCGGCAGAGTCCTCGCGGCAGCGGCGGTACAGACGCTGGAACTCAGCCCTGAGAGATGCGGGGGGTGCCACCGTTTTAGGTTGCGGAAAGATGCGACGTGCAGGGCGTTGCGGGGTGAGTCACCTCAGTCCAGCAGCCCTCACCGCTCTCTTCACCATCCCAAACGCGCTTGAACACTACGAACTGTCATCTGCACGATTTCATTTTGAGGAGCTGCAAGCTGCGCCAGCACTTGCATGAGAGCCAGTAACTGCAGCAAAGGGCCACCGCATCAATCGTGGAAAAATCGGTGAGCAACGTGCGTCTGCCGGCCTCACCAGTTGACCGCGCCGTCGCAGTCCTCGTCCACCTCCCACAGCAGGTCGTCCACCTCGCCGCGCTTGGGGCGGTGGCCCAGCGCCGCAAACACCGCGTTCAGCTCCTCGGGGTCGATGCGGCCGTCACCCTGGGGCGGCCGCGGGGCGGCGACGCTGCCGTTGCGAAGCTGCGTTTTGGTAACGCAGCCGCGGCTCACATACTGCATCGCAGGCAGCTGGGCGGGTGCCTGGATTCAAATTTCTGATTCTGCACTTGTGTCAAGGCTCCCGGCACCCACCTTGCGGTCCAGGAAGGCAAAGGCGCGCCGCAGGTCCTCGGCCTCGTTCTTGCGCGCGTACCGCTCTCTCGCAGCTGCAGACGCCATGCTGCCGCGCCAGATGCGTCGTGCTCCTTCGCCGGGAATGGAACACACTGCTACCTCGGCACCACAGTTCTACCTCAGCGGCGCCTGGGTGTGGGTACCACCGGCGTGGGTCGGGGCAGCGGTAGTGCCACCGCTGCGTCACACCGCACGTTGACAAGGTTTGACCCTGGCTGCGCCCTAAGCAGAGGCTGTGGAGACCACGACTTCAGGATCCAGCATAAGACTGTCAAGCTGTGTATCGCCCTCGTGCCGTAAAGCCCCAGGGACGCAGCTTCGCAACAAAGAGCTCGATCGAGGGACTACCGTATGGTGCCCACTGTGAAGGACTTGTTGCAAATTTGTAATTGAGTTTGATGGACTTGACGCTTCAAAACCGCGCTTCTCGTAGTTGCTGCTAGATCGGGGCCCAGGATGGGGGGCATCAAGAATAGGGAGGCGAAGAAGGCCGCCGCAAAGGTCTTCAGGTGGGATGAAATATCAGAAGTTTTATAGTCACTGATGACGAGCCAGCGCTGCCGGTGCACATGCCGCGGGCACCAGCCGTCCGCCACCAGCAGCAGTGCAGCTGCTGGTGTTCATTCTGCAGGTGTTCATTCTGCAGGCCCCCTGATGCAAGTTTCACCTCAGTATCGCTTGGCCTGTGCAGCAAGTTTGTCATGGGTGTAGCGATGTTCATTGTTTGGATAGTAGTCGCCACTCCCTCCACTCTCCCACGACATCCACACCCAAAAACGCAGCTCTGGCGGCGGCGGTGGCGCCAAGGGCCCCTCCATCATCGACAAGCGCGGCGAGGAGCTGCCCTGCCCCCACTGCGACCGCATCTTCAAGCAGAGCGGGCGACTTAAGGATCACATAGCAAAGCAGCATACAGACCAGCCCGGTGGAGGCAGCGAGGGCGGCGGCGATGGCGGCGCATCCACGTCGTCGGCCCCGCAGCAACCAGGCCCCGGTGGCGTCGGCGGCTCTGGCAGCAGCGGGAGCAGCAGCAAGCCCCCTAGCCGCCCAGGCACGGCCGGCGGCCCCGGCAAGGCGGTCGCATCCGCGGCCGCCGCGGCTGCCGCATCGGCCGGCGCCGGCAAGCCGCCCGCGGCGCCCGGCGCGCGGCCCGGGAGCAGCGGCGCGGCGGGCGGCGGCGGCTTCAGCGACAAGCAGATGATGGACGTAGGGGCGCGGGGCGGATACTTTGACGAGAAGAGCCCGAAGCTGCTGCTCCACGAGTGGTGCCTGCGCCAGAAGCGCCCCAAGCCGCGGTACGTGACGCAGCACGCCCCCGGCGGCCAGCACGCCTGCAAGGTCGTGCTGCCAGACCCCAAGGGCGTGTCAGACCGCGACGTGGTGGTCTTCCTGGACGCCTCGCTGGCGGCGCCCGACGCTGACGAGGCGGCGCAGCGCGGCGCGGTGGCGGCGCTGCACGCGGTGCAGGGCGATCGGGCGCTGGACTATGTACTGCCGGCGCGGTACCGCATGGTGTGGCGGGAGCTGGGGGAGAAGGTGAGCGGCGCCGCGGCCGCGGGAGCCCAGTCACTGCTTCAGTCATGGCATTTTTCGGGCAATGATGCAGCAGGGCTGTTCATCTGCCGGTGGGTCGAATCTGGTCACCTTGTCTCATGGCAGGCCGGTTTGCTGTGCATGTTGAAACCGCTGGAAACACTCCCACCTTCATCCCTTACGCCGCTGCAATGCTGTCAAACAAGGCACGTTATGCTGCGCCTCCTGCTGCCATCCCCTTGCTCACCGCCGCAGGCGGCCCAGCGCGAGGCCAAGCGCGCAGCGGCGGCCGGGAAGGCCGCGCAGAAGCGCGAGCGCGCCGCCGCCCGCAAGGCCGCCGCGGAGCGCCGCGGCGCCGCCGCGGTCGTCATGTCTGAGGACCAGCGGCGGCGCATCGAAGCGCTGCTGCGCGGGCTGGACGGCTCGATAGGGGCGGGGCTGGGCGGCGAGGACGATGGGGATTTGAGGGACGGATACGACGGCCCTTGGAGCGACGACGAGGACGAGGATGATGAAGAGGATGATGACGAGGCGGCGGCCGAGGACGCGCGGGCGCTCGCGCGGGAGCTGCAGCGAATGGGCTTCGCCGAGCGCGACGCGGCGGCGGCGGTCAAGGCGGTCGGCGCGGCGGGCGGCGCGGACGCGGCGCTGCCGGCGGCGCTGGACTGGCTGTGCCTCAGCCTGCCGGAGGACCGGCTGCCGCGCGCCTTTGCGCCGGGTGGGTGCGGCGTGCGCGGCCAGGGCGGTGGGTGGGCTCGCTGCGGCTGCGGTCTGCATGGCCGCAGCGCAGCGATGGCCCGACCCGACCACACTCGCGAGTGTGGAGCTCGTTGCCATTCTACACAACCTCACACTCGACCGGCGACCCACACAGCTACTGTACTTATTGACTCGTGAACCACCCCCATTTCACGCCATCCCAGGCGCCTCCAGCACCATCTCCGTCGTCCGCACCGCCGACGCCGGCCTCTCCGCCCCGCGCGCCGCGGCCGCCGCCGCCGCCGCCGAGGCCGCTGCCGCCAAAGCGGCGTCCGCGGCGGCCCTGGAGGACCCCACAGTGGCGGCCCTGCTGGAACACGGCTACCCCCTAGACCACGCGCTGGCAGCGCTGCAGGGCGCCTCCGGGTCGCTGCCCGCCGCGCTCGCGTCGCTCTTCGCCGCCCTCCTCGCGCGCTCGGCCGGCGACGGGGACTCGGCCGGCGCGGGGGCGGCGGCGGAAGCGCTTGCAGCAGCCTGCCGCGGGCCGGGCGCAGAGCGGGCGGCGCGGCCGGCGGCGTGGGGGGAGGAGCGGGAAGTTCTGGAGGCGATATACGGGCGCGAGGTGGCGTATCCCGAGCCGTGGCGCGCGGTGATCTCTGTCGACTGGCCAGAGGCCCGGGATAAGGTCGAGTTACACATCCTGTGCCCGCCTGATACAGCTGCGGCCGCCGGCGGCGGCGGCGCCGCCGCGGCGGCGTCCTATCCGGACGTCCCCCCGGCCGTGGCCGTGACCTGCGCGCGCCTCAGCCCGGCCGCGCGGCTGGCGCTGACTGCGCGCCTCGCGTCCGAGGCGGCGCGCCTCGCGGCGGGCGGGCACAGCGCGGCGCACGACCTGGCTGTCGCGCTGTCCGAGGCGCTGGAGGAGGAGGGGGAGGCGCTGCTGACCGCGGCGGCCAGCGGCGGCAGCCGTAGCAGCAGGGCGCGCGCGCCGCCGCCGTACGACAAGCCGCTGAAGGCGGCGGCCGAGGCCGAGGCTGCAGACGCAGGCGGCGGCGTGGGGGACGGCAAGTCGGAGCAGCAGCGGCGGGTGGAGGAGGCGCGGGCGTCCGCGGCCGCGCGCGGCGCCGCGGCGCCGCGGCGGCAGCGGTACGTCGCGCGGCCGTCGCCGGAGGTGGTGGCGGCGGAGAGCCAGCGGCTGCTGCGGGATGCGGAGCGGCTCAAGGTGGGCCTGGGCGCGGTGTGGTCATGCCTGTGGGGCAGCGCCATGAGGCGGCGCCTAGAGGCAGGCGCTGACTGCAGGGGACAGCGGGCTCCTGCAGTCTGGACTGTGGCGAGCTCTGTCAGTTGGTCTGCCTCCCGGCTCGCTCGCAGCCATACCCCCCGTGCCCCACACCGTCACACCTGGATGCAACACACTCACACGCGACAACTGCTCACACGCACCCTCCCCTCCACGCCCGCACTCGCCTGGCGCTGATGTATCCGGCCCGTTCAAAACAGTTGGACCCCGGCCACGCGTCGATGCGCGCGACCCGCGCCGCACTGCCCGCGGCCGCCAAGCGCGGCGAGCTGCTGGCGGCCGCGGCGGGCAGCGACGTCCTGGTCATAAGCGGCGCGACGGGCTGCGGCAAGTCGACGCAGGTGCAAGGGCGCCAGGGCTCGGCTGGGCTCGGCCCGGGCGGGGATGGGGGGCACTTGCGCCAGTGGACCGTCCAAACCAACTTACGTGCGCTGACGCGTTATCCTGCAGCTCTTGCCGGGCCCTGCACCAAGCACCCGCACTCCCCTCAGCCACCTGCGGCCCCAGCAAACACCGGTCCCCCCTTCCTGATTCTTGCTCCCAGTGACTGACCCAACATCAACCACCAATAACCAAACGCCAACTCCCAACTGCCAACCACCGAGCAGGTGCCGCAGTACCTGCTGGAGGACGCCGTGGACCGCTCCATGGGGGGCGCCACCAGCATCATTGTGACGCAGCCGCGCCGCATCGCCGCCACCGGCCTGGCGGCGCGCGTGGCGGCGGAGCGGGGGGAGGAGCTGGGCGGCGTGGTGGGGTACAGCGTGCGGCTGGACAACAAAACGTCGGCGCGCACGCGGCTGCTGTTCTGCACGACGGGTGGGTGGGGAG